TGTACTTACAAAAGATGGTATTGAGCGGTGTCAAAGGCGGTCTAAAACTGGTAAGAGCTAGTCCCAATTAGGCGATAAAACCATTAAAATCAGGCATCCGACTGTTGGCCGCTATACACCTTCGTAGACTCGCAATAACCAATCCTGTGGCCGAAAATCAAACCCTTCTTAGTCGCTGTTATCGTGGCTCGGTCGATCATGCATCAACGTGAGACACCAATCCTGGTGGCTTTTCATCTCACGTCATGGGCAGCGAGAGTTTTCTGAATTCGCGAATGAGATATTCGAGAATTGAACACGATCTCAATAGCGTCAGCGCAGGCAACTGAAGTATGTTCGATTCCGTCGACTGATCTGGCAATTTTAGGTATCTATGCGCTGGCAGCTGTTGGGGTACAGTCGGGTATTCGTCATTCTGTGTTTTCGCGGTTATTTTGGCCTCAGCTAATTGTAGGAGAATTTGCTAGGACTTGTGTCAGGTTTAGCGGGACAGATTGATACCTGAGTATAAGATGCCTCTATGATCCCCTCTAATGGCATTATCTCCCGCCTTACAGTGCTCCTCTGATCGTTGGTCTTAGCCTGAGATACGCGCAGTTGTTCTTCACTGCCACTGACCACTCAAACCACTGTAAGTAGGGGACTTGGCTGGTATCACTTCCAAGCTGACAAAATTTAGACACCATTGCCTCCATCTCTCTCAATATGCCCAGAGCAATCCCTCGCATGTTCTCACGGGCGCCCGACTGCTGCGGCGCTCAGATGTCTCGTCGCCAGACAAGCAGCAATTATAACGGCAATAGGGACAGATGGCGTTATTTCTGCCGAAATTGCCCTCGTATGGTCTTTGATGATTGGGAGGGCATTCGAGATGGGAATCCCTTGTGTGACTGTTCGGAGTTTTCTCGTGAACAGATCGAGCATGGTCGTGTTTTTGTGTTCCGGTGCGCGAGGAAGGATTGTAAATTCAAGGAAGAGGAAACTCAATGATTGGTAGGTCCTGACACTGCGCGTGGGATGCAAGTAGCGCAGGAGCATGGGATGCCGTCAATGCAGAATCTTTTCCTATATACTAAATGTCCTGGCATTTCGAAAATTCAATTCGCATTTTCCGAAATGCAGACGGGCAATTGATTTCTGAGACGTACGTACGGTACCACCTACCTAACTATGGTGTACATATATTCTCACGTCGCTTCGGGATGCTCTCCTCTTACCACCCACCATCTCCCGAGTTTTGTCGATTCCAAATCAAGTTCTTTCATGATCTTCTTCTAGTGTCTTTCCCAAATTGTACTCCATACACATTGACGAGTGGCTCTAGTCACGCCAGCTGCTCGCTGACGAGTCTCATCATCAGACTAGAACTTTAGCGGTCTTGACATGTCGCAGATCTGCTAGGTTGAGGCAAGATCCTGACATCGTTATTTCTCAACATATTATTGCTTCCCAAATTTCCCTTTGACTACTGTGATATTGACTTCTCCGGATTCCAATCATGTCCAGTCTTCACGGACTCCTTCATCGACAGCGACCAGGACCGTGGCAGAGATTCCGGGCCCGGCCTTGCGTCTTCCTCGCATAAATGCTTTACAGTTGGCATAAACCTATTCCAGCTTTGCCTCTCACAAACATTCCTGTTGCGATTATCTGTATATCCGATACTCATAACACCAAGCCCCACGTTCCAGATGGTGACATCCTTATCCATGCTGGTGATTTCACACAGTCTGGATCTTTTCAGGAACTTCAGGACGCACTTGCCTGGCTACGCAACCTAACTCATGCTATCAAAATAGTGATTGCTGGTAATCATGAGCTATTGCTTGATTCAGCTTGGGATGATTCGCTAGGTCAAGCAGCCTTTGAGCGAGCTCAACTCGACTGGGGCGATATTATCTACCTGGAAAATGGGGAGGTAACAGTTTCCTGCCCGAATTTTCGCCAGCTTAGGGAGTTCGACCAAGGCTCCATATATGTGGCCACGTACATGAGGCTTCAGGAACCGAGTGGATGGTGTTTAACGGACTCCAGGAGGCGTACGAGCGTACTATCGCTACAGAAGGAGGCCTTAAGAATCTTCTGCTTGCAACGTGGGAGTTAACCAAGGCAATATATCTCCGCCCGGTTGTAGAGGCAAAATGTTTACTTATAAACCCATCTATTGTTGGAGGTTTGTGGGTTTGTGGGACAATGAACGGAGGCAGCCGGTCAATGTCTTTATATAATGTTGCAATCCTGTTGTTCAACTGAATTTAGTCCTGCCTCTCTTGCCTTTCAACTGATTCTCCATTGACTCCGCAAATTTATGGTTAGGTAAATGTGGTTAATGGCGTATTATCGCGATGGGATATTGAGTACCGGGCCGGTCAATTTCGACATTCTAGGTTCTCTCATGAATCGCGCTGAAATGCGAGAGAGCTACCTTTCATTACTTATTCAAGTTACATCTTCTATCCAAAGTCGGCCATATCTGTGTTTAACCCGGGAATACTCGCAATCAGATTCTCCTGATGAACCTCCTACTCCAACACAGAGCGTCCTCCTCTTCCCCTAACACCTCTATCCTTCAATTGAATTCATCACACCCCAGTCACCCTCCGTCCAAGACAGCGTCATCTTAAAGGCCTCAATCTTCCACAGTCCACTTTCATTATCCTTTACCAAATCAGCATAGTACTGCGCCCCAGACATCAGCCGTGGCTGATCGGGCTCATTCCCCTTCCCACCGCGGTAGTGCTGCGCGAGCGCAGAGGCAGTCGCCGCGGCCTTAACGCCACTGTCGGCGATGTTTATGCGGATGTTAGTGACGAAGTGAGTGGTATCCAGCTTGCTGATCACTTCGAAACAGTCGGTGTGGATGGCAGGAAGGCCCGAGAAGGTCTTATCGCCGATAGAGAATGTAGCGGTGGAGGTGAAGGCGGAGTCAAAGAGGGCCAGGTCATTCGTGTCTAGCCCGAGGACGCAGCGATAGAGTGCATCAGCGATGGCGTCGCGGCCGCTCAGGGTAGGTGTTAGGGCTGCGGGCAGGGAGAAGGATGTCATGGTAATAATAGATGATATGGGAGTAAGAAGGATCGTTGGAGTGAGAATTGTAGGAAAAGCCGGGGTATTCCTATCAAAGAGGAAGCTTGGCGTTGAGGTGCGAAGCGATTTAGATATATAGACCTCGATGGTTGTTAACTCCGCTGAACCATTTATCTCCAGGAATCCATCGGAGTTAAGGCTATCTCGGACATTACCAGCGGTCTCATATACAGTGTTATGTGCTGAGCAGGTAGATATGACCTTATTTCCCCACCTGGACTTCCTTTCTTTCTCTCTCCTAGCTAGCAATTACAACGACATCTTGCGAATTCTGGCCTCGGATAGGCCCATAAGGCGGGCAGAGTACTAAAAGAGAAACAGACAACCTTAGAAGCCAATAGTTCGGTCTTCTAATGCAACACATGGGGAGTACTATTGTTAGTACATCATACACGGGAACGAGGCCTGCTAAATCTCCTTGAAATATTTGCAGAAGGTGCAAGCTTAATCTGAGCCTACCTAGTCCTGTTTCTCGTACTGTGTACCGCGATATATTTGCAGCTGACGCCGGCAGGCACACTTGTACTCCTGTCCCTGGTTGATTCTCCTCCTCCTACTCCTCCTCCTCCTCCTGGTGCTGAGGGAGGCAGAGAAGATGAACATGACGATGAGTTGAGTCCTCGACCAAGAAGAAGAAAGCGGTTAGTCAAGTAATCTTCATTGGTATCTTACATATCTCATTTTTTTGTAAAACATGACTACGAGCACATTGACTATTTCCAACATCTATATCACAATAGTTGAGCTCGGCATTATGATAAGGAAAAGTTAAAATTTTGCTATTTGCTCCCTACTTGAGCAGTTCAAGTTTTACAGCTCTGACAACTCTCCAACACATGCATCATGACGTGGCCCGTCTTGTAGACCTCTATTGACAAAACAAGTTTACTAATAGTAACAACCTCATCGATAACTAACTACAGAGCCTTCCAAATATTAAACCAGATGCTTGATAGGTAGTTCTCATACATTGATCATGTAGAATAAATCACCTGACCACGGGGAAAGCAGCCTAGTCCAAAAGCGGTTAGTGGCGATTCAGCTCTTGGCACTCACCCGTGAGTTTTGCGTGTCGCGACCAACCTCCCCAAGTGCCCCCAGCAACCCGTCCAATCATCACTTTAGGTCTCCTCTTCCATCTCTCGCGGCCTTCATTCACGCCATTACTGGCTTTTTACTGTTTAATCGTATACTACCATTGCGCTTTACACGGCAGACAGACTGATACGGAAAGAAGTTGACATTCCGCCGACCGCGACAGCTGTTTGCCTTGATCCATCATGGATGACACTCACATCAACCAAGCTGCGGCCCACGAGAATGTCCAGTCTATGACTGGCCTAGATGGCGCAGCTGATGCAGCTCGCGGAGCCTCTGGTATGCCTACTCTCAAATGGCTTTTATGTTGCACCGAGTGCTAAATTTGTGGACAGGAGCGCAATCGCGCCAGAATTCGCCCGTGAAGAAGATTGAGAATACACCTGGGTCCGACAATCCGATGTACGCCCCAGCATCTCCCAAACCTCGCCACGGCGGGGTTGAACCGGAAGACGAAGAGATGGGTGGTACTGAGACCGATGCCAAGCCCGACACCGAAGGCTTGGAGGATGCTGCGGGCGAGTCGCATACGCAAGGAGAGGGAACAGATGGGCTTGAAGATGCTGTGGGTGAAGAACAACCCGCACCATCCAAGTCGTCTCTGGAAGCCGCCGCGCGCGAACAACTCGTCACGCAAACACACGCCATCATTCTCCCCAGCTATGCGACCTGGTTTGATATGAACACCATTAACCCAATCGAGAAGAAAGCTCTCGCCGAATTCTTTAATGGCCGCAACCGCAGTAAGACGCCTGCTACATACAAAGATTACCGGGACTTCATGATCAATACCTATCGATTGAACCCCATCGAGTATTTGACTGTTACTGCTTGCCGTCGCAACCTTGCCGGTGACGTCTGTGCTATTATGCGTGTTCACTCATTCCTTGAGCAGTGGGGCTTGATCAACTACCAGGTGAATGACCGTGTTTTCCCATTCAAGCATCTTATCTAACATCTCTGCAGGTTGACCCTCAGACACGTCCGTCCAATATTGGCCCGCCATTCACCGGTCACTTCCGAGTTGTCGCAGATACTCCACGGGGTCTGCAGCCATTCCAGCCTGGGCCAAACCACAGCGTCACGTCCGGCAAGTTTCATCCAGGCACACAGCGTGCTGTCTCTTCCATCCCTGCATCCAAAGACGACCTCAACCTCGAACTCCGCCGCACCATTTACGATGAAAAAGGCAAGGATATCACCTCCGCCAAAGATAAAGAGAAACAGATCAACGGCGAAGCAACAAACGGCTTGGACATTGCTCGGGAATCCAAGAAGAAGGCACACTGCTTCTCTTGTGGTATTGATTGCACTAAACTTCGATTCCACTACGCTAAATCGGCTTCGACATCAGCCAATGCCGCTACGCCAGACACCAAGTATGATCTGTGTCCCAACTGTTTCCTTCAAGCGCGAATGCCTTCTAGCCACAATGCCTCGGACTTCGTTAAGCTCGAGGACAAGACCTACTCTCACTTCACTGACAAAAACACTCCATGGTCAGACTCAGAAGTGATTTTGTTGCTGGAAGGCCTGGAAAACTTCGATGAAAACTGGGAACAGATTGCGAGCCACGTTGGCACACGATCTCGGGAAGAGTGTGTCATGAAGTTCCTACAGCTAGAGATCGAGGACAAATACGTTGAAGATGTCCCAGAGCCGCAGTTGGGCAGCGGACGCGACCCCATCAGCCAGTCAGAAAACCCTGTTCTTTCTGTTGTGGCTTTCCTGGCCCAGATGGTGGAGCCCGCAGTAGCTGCCGCTGCCGCCGGTCGGTCCGTCGACGAGATCCGCAAGGAGCTCCGGAGCCAGCTGGAGAAGGGGCATGACAAAGGCAAAGATGCAGTCAAGTCCGAAGATTCTATGGACGTAGATCCCGCACGTGAGGCCGAGCAGCAATCCGCGAAGCCTAAGGAGACTCTCGGCACCATCGCCCTGGCCGCATCTGCCGCGCGTGCCGGAGCTCTTGCCTCGCACGAGGAGCGTGAAATGACCCGCCTAGTCTCTGCTGCAGTCAACGTCACCTTGCAGAAGTTTGAGATCAAGCTGCAGCAATTCAATGAGATGGAAGAGATTATCGAGGCTGAGCGTCGTGAGTTGGAGCAGGCGCGTCAGCAACTCTTCTTGGACCGGATGACATTCAAGAAGCGTGTTAAGGAGGCCCAGGATGCGCTCCAGACTGTCAGCCTGCAGGGCCCCAACGAACACACGCATCAGATGCTAGCCGATGCTGCTACTACAGGTATTGGACACCACTACAGCTTCCAGCCTGTTGGCGGAGATATGCGGGCTGGAACCCAGCCTCTAAGCGCCCAAGGTGGTGCTGACTACAAGACCCTTGACCTGTAGGCTTCCTCAATACATGTACGATAATCCCTCATGGATCTTCTGAGAGGGAAACCTAAAGGGACTTTTGTTTCGTCTCGCTGAGTTATGAATATTCTGAACTTTCTGGCTTGGAAAAGGCGCACTTTTGTTTTTTTTTTTTTTTTTTTTTTTTGGGGGGGGGGGGGGGGGGGGGGGGGGGGCTTATATCGGCGCAATTAAGATGCAGCGCTAGCTTCACGAGCGTGGAAACGAGAGGATATGAATTAGAATTTGCCAATAAGAAGAATTTTCTGTTTTTTTTTCGGTCTTGGCTTAGTTAGCTATGAGCAAGCCATTATAACACGATTTTGCATTATACATTCTAGACCTGTGCCATCTAGAAAAAATATCTATAATCTAGAACACATCGAGTGGTGTTCAAGGAGGGAGCAGAAAGCCAGGTCTAGCTAAAATAAAGGTGAGATCTGCCCCTGAATTGTATGCAATTACTCGGACCATATGTTCCAACCCTAAGAACCCGCTTGGGGTGGCTTATGTTAAAGTTTGCATACGTACCAAGCCAGCTTATATGTAGTACGGAGTACTAGTGCTCCTGGCTTCCAAGATTCCAAGACTGGGTGGTGGGGGAAACGGCAGGCTTTTCCATGGGTGGCTGGTTTTGGCCCCTCCGATCTGCATTCCGATATTGCTTCCCAAGGCTGGCAGGGATGGCGTGGTGGATTATTAGCTTCAAGATATATTGCGATACCGCGGCATTTTCTATGTTCTAAGCGAACCGTCTCTGGTTGTTAGCTTTTCCGCGCATAAGACCGGAACGTTTGAACGCAACCTGGTACACTTGCATGAAGTCAATCCGTTATGTTTTTCCGCGCATCCCTCATTGCTTCGCTGTTGGCAGTTCTGCCTCAGGCTTCAGCCTCGGCATGCCGTTGCTTTCCCGGTGATGCTTGCTGGCCCACCGAGGATCAATGGTCCCAATTGAACAAAACCGTCGATGGTCGACTAGTCAAGACCGTCCCTCTCGGCACACCTTGCCATGCGCCGAACTACAATTCCGAGACCTGTGCAGTCTTGAAGGATGGGTGGCTACTTCCTGAGGAGCAGTATGTGACTCTGCATATAGAATAACACGAAAGGGCCAGTACTGACATATGTTTCTGACAGCTATGAATCATCTTCCTCGGTTATGGCGCCGTTCTTTGCCGAGGGTGCTTGCGATCCGTTCCACCCCGTCTCAAAGCCCTGCACCCTGGGTAACTATGTGCGCTACAGCGTGAATGTCACCAGCCCGGCTCACATTTCCAACGCTGTGAAATTCGCAACGAAGCACAACATCCGTCTTGTCATCCGTAACACCGGCCACGACTACAATGGCCGATCCACTGGCGCTGGAGCGCTTGCAATCTGGACTCACCACCTGAAGGATCTGTCAATCGACTCCTACCATGACAAGCACTACACCGGAAAGGCCATTACCATGGGCGCTGGAATCCAAGGCCACGAAGCCTACGAGATCGCCGAGGAAACTGGTTACCAGGTCGTCGGCGGCGAATGTCCCACCGTTGGTCTTGCCGGTGGCTACACCCAAGGAGGCGGTCACTCCGCACTGGGCTCCCGCTATGGCCTGGCCGCCGATCAAGTCCTGAAATGGGAGGTCATTGACGGCCAAGGCAACTGCATCACGGCTACCCGCGACAATGAGCACTCTGACATCTTCTGGGCTCTCAGCGGCGGTGGTGCTGGCACTTACGGTATCGTCTGGTCCATGACCTCCAAGGCACACCCGGGAACCCCCGTCTCTGGCCTGAACCTGACCTACACGAATGATGGGATCTCGCAAGACACTTTCTTCAATACCATCGAGACCTTCCACGCCGCCCTGCCCGCTATCGTCGACGCAGGTGCTATGAGCGTCTGGTACTTCACCAACACCAGCTTCTCTATTGCTCCGATCACCGGTCCCAACATCCCTGTCGCTGACTTGGTGACGCTGCTCAAGCCTTTCACCAACAGCCTCGACAAGCTCGGCATCGAGTACACCATGGTTTCCAAGCAATACGACAGCTACTACAGCCAGTTCAAGGACATGCAAGGCACCATTGAGGTTGGCACGGCCCAATATGGCGGCTGGCTGGTTCCGAGATCGGTCGTTCAGAACAACAATCACGCCCTGTTGACTGCCTACCGTGAGATCACCGAGGCGGGCGGCACTTTTATCGGCGTCGGCTTGAACGTCTCCCACAAGGTATCTGGAGACGTCCACAACGCGGTCCTCCCTGCTTGGCGCGAAGCCTTGATTGATACTACTTTGACGACCCCATGGGAGTGGGACAACTCTGCTCTCATGTTGGAGCGCCAGCGCCAAATGACCGAGGATTTCATTCCGAAGCTGACTGCGCTTTCTCCCAAGTCCGGTGCTTATATGAATGAGGTATGTAAACTGATATTTAGCTATGATTCCCTTCATTATTGTGTACGCATGCTTATCATTTTGGCAGGGTGACTTCCAACAGCCTAACTTCAAGAAGGTCTTCTATGGTACCAACTATGATACCTTGCGCAAGGTCAAGGCTAAATATGATCCGAACAATATCTTCTACGCTAGAACCGCTGTCGGGTCTGACGAGTGGACCGAGAGTAAGGATGGCCGCTTGTGCAAAGCAACCTAGGAAGAATCTGTTGGGGTGAGTTTAGTACATACTATACAATATATCAAAGGTTGAAGTCCATCATCTGTGGGCTTGATAAATTGTGGTTTTCTGTATGCTCGAAGGCCCACCACGTCAGGGTGCCACCAGGAGGATCTATGTATTTCTACTACACTCAGATTTATCTGAACAAGGAGATAAACATTAATATTCCAAAGACGATAAGAAGGTGCGTTATAGCTCCCACTGCGACAATTGCTGATGATCATATAACTAGGTACGTCAATCCTAGGCACCCCAAACTAGTATATAGGGTTCTCTCCCTTCCTATATGTTTGTATCTACTGGCCAAATTGTAAGAGGCATGATCTATTGAATGATTGTAATATGACATGGAATTTGCGGAACGAGACTATATATTCAGGATGAAATAACTACATGCGGATGCACCAAGCATTATCTTATGGACGATACTGAAAACCCTAAGTATAAAAAGCAACCACCAATGTACCATCGTGATCTACAACCCATGACTATGCATGTTGATCACTTTACGAAGAAAAGAGAGTAAAAAAATAGCATTAACACACTCCCATTCACATGATTGCGCTTAAAGACCTTGCGAGGTTGCTGTAGTTTTGATAGATTCCAGTTAATCAATCTCCATGATCGATCAAAACAAGGTTTTTGCGAAAGGGAAGTGTATATGAAAAAAAGAAGAAGTAAAAAAGAAAAAAAAAGATACTACCCGGGATGGTCTTCATATCGTTGTCCACGGGTGTGGATATGTGGGAAGGGAAGGTCAAATGGTGGCGGTGAGACCGGTTGAATAGCATGGCGAGGGGTGTGATACTCTCCGAGAGATTCGCCACAGACATACATACCAAGAACTGTCATGGGATCGTATCTGAAAGCGAAAGGTGAGATTGGCGAGAATGATCGCGATCATTCGTGAGTGCGGCCTCTGAGCGGAGAAGCATTCGGGGCGCGTGCCGTGGGGGTCCCGTGGGGGTTATAGAGAAATGGCCGTCATTTGAGAATGCCGGAAAAATGAAGGTTGGGGTGCGAGCTTGATAGGCCGTAATTGGAAACAAGTCTTTCAGAAGTCACTGAATAATACCTCATACTTCTTCTTCAGATCCTCCGTGTAAATGTTCGTGTTTCTGAGGTCGGGGGGATCCGGATATTCTTCAAAGTTACCCGTGTCCGCGGGGTGGGATAGGCGGGGAAGTATAGGTCCTTTCACCCGGCGATAAAACAAATCATCCCAGATGATGCCTTGAAAGAACGGATGGGACTTGACTCGAGTCGAGCCACCAGAGATGTGGCCCAGTCGCTCCGACGGGTTTGTTTTACAGAGTAGGGAGATGATGTTCTGAGCTGCAGGTGGCATATTCGGTGGGAAGCGTAGACGACCTTCGATGATCTGCTCGTAGATGCGCATAGGGTTCTGGTCCCAGAAAGGAGGCTGTCCGACCAAGAATTCGTAGATCAAGATCCCAAGAGCCCACCAGTCCACTGCAAGTCCATGGCCGCTGTTTTGAATGACCTCCGGAGCTAGGTATTCCGGTGTGCCACATAATGTGTATGTCTCGCGATTATCGACTTGCTTCGCAAACCCGAAGTCAACAAGCTTGAGGTGACCATCGGCATCCAACAGGATATTCTCCGGTTTGAGATCTCGGTAGGCAATTCCATGTACATCGTGCAAGAACTCGATTGTCATTGTTATTTCGGCGGCATAGATAGTCGAGACTTCTTCGCTAAAGCGTCGTTGTCGTCGTAGATATGTGAATATTTCACCTCCAGGACAATAGTCCAGCTGACAATTCGTCAGCATCCTGTGATCAATCAAGACATATTTCGTATTCCAAAAAAACAAGTTGCCATACCAGCATATAGAGGCATTTCTCATCCGAGAATGATGCAATCAAGGTGGTGATGAAAGGGTGGTCAATGACCGCTGCGAGGGCCTTCCGCTCGTTGCGCACATGTTCCACTTGCTTGAGTTTGATCACTTTCCAGTCGCAATCAGCACAAGTTGTCCCTCGCCACGCACAACGTTAGACAAAGTGGCGCTTACCGTCCGCCTTTCGAAGAATTTTCAACGCATATACTTTGCTCTTGTCCTTTTGGTCTTTTAACCTTGCGAGCCACACCCGAGCGAAAGTGCCTATACAATGAGAAAAGCATGAACCGTCAGATGCGACTCCTGTAAGAGAAATATGGGTTCGGCCACGCGCTAACCAGTTCCAAGAGTCTTGACGAGCACAAAATCGCTCACGCGCAGACTCCTTGACGAGATGCACAGTTGCTTCTCGTCCTGGCGCTCGGTGATGAGAAATGGGTTCGAGGATCGCGGAGGAGGACGGAAAGACTCGACGAGTTGCTTGTCCCTGTGATGCAGGTTTCCATTTACCTTGGGAAATACCATGGTTCCTGGCGCCTCATTAGGCGAATGTTGCACTGCTCCGGTTGCCATTAGAATGGTCAAAGATCATGTCGTGGTAAAAGGGAAAAAAACGTGTATGGAGACCCCGTTAGCGCGCCACCAATCGGCAACACAGCTCGATTCCGGATTTCAGATCATAAAGAACATCGAGGTTCGAAGGTTTGAAAGAATCTAGGGTTTCGGAAAAATCGCGGGGCAAAGAGTTGTAAGAATGAAAGTTCTCTGACGTATTTGCTATGGGAGGCGGGGCTGGACGGGAAAGAAACTACGGTGATAAACCGGACTGAGTAAGCTCTTAGCTTTGATTTGACCCGAACCTATGTAAGATCCTTTTATTGTACACCGGAAATAAGAATGTATTCGATTCAGAAACCAGTCGGTCCATATCTCGATCCAGTTTCCATGGCCATTATCTGTCCTGGTTACGTTGTTGGTACACATATATCAAAAATGGTGTCTGTTCGAGCCCAGGATGACCGGTAGCAGACGAAAAAGTGTTGTTGAATGAGTCGGCGTATGGAATTGCCCAGCGCTCAAGACTTCGAGTTTAGAATCAAACCAACAATCAAGCTGACCATGTTAGTAAAGGTAATCTGAAAGAACCCCGACTCAGAAACATACCCATAAAGCCCAAGAACTTCGCCGAAAATCAGTATGAGAATCATTCCCACGTAGACCCGAGACTGCTGCATGTATGCCCGAACACCCTAGAGTAGTTGTTAGGACTTAATAGTCCTCTCACGTTGCCGCGCATATAGGGTCCTTACTGCATCGCCCACAACTCCAATTGTATAACCAGCCGCCACACCCGTAAGACCAACTGACATTCCAGCGGCAAGATGCATGAAGCCTCTGTGCATCATTAGCTTGTGCCAAGCTCCACATCCACCCAACTTTCGAAACGTACGTGTACAAGCTCTCATTGCTTCCTGGTCCCATTGCTCCAGCGATAAGGACGGCGATAACGAGACCGTAAACTGCAATGATACCGGACATAACAACGGGAATGAGGGACTGCAGTCATGAACTCAGTTAGCTACCGTCCTGTCCATCACGGAACCTAGAGAAACGGTTCTTACCTTCATGATGAGATCGGCCCTGTAGGTTCCCACACCTGCAATTCCAATGCCAGACTTCGCTGTGCCATAAGCTGCTCCTGCCGCTGTGAGATTGTAAGCTGTTTGTCCAAATACCTAGAACATAGATATAACTGAAGGCATCGGCAGTCGCCGGCGCGTTTAAGAACCCCCTTAAGGACGTCAAGGAAGTCCTTACGCTTATAAATGATGTCATTGTCATCGCCAGAGATATCGCAGTACCGTAAGAGGGCCCTCAAGTGTTGCAACAGGCCCCATGGGAACCACTGCACCGATAAGAACCATTGTAACCGGTTCATAGCCCACTGTGGCCTCTCACGGTACCACGATTTCTCTAGCGATGATATGCTATCCATTATAAGTGTAAGGACTTCCCTGACGTCCTTAAGGAGGTTCTTAACCGCCCCAGCGACTGCCAATGCCTTCATCGTTATATCCTTGGAGAGCTAGCTCCATCCATGAGAGGTATTTCACGTACAACCGAAGATCATCTATAGGGAACTGTTAGTGTATTGTCTAGTCGGAACCAGGTTGGAATGAACCCACTGCAGCGGCAATGCCTGCCTAGTATAGGAAGCCTGTTAGTCTATGAACCCCAGTGGTCGCGGAACCTTGAACTCACGAAGGAGAAGAACGGAGCAAACTTGGGCGCAAGCTCGCTGTCTGCCATAGTGATGGTGGGGCAAGACTAATCTTGCAAATTACACGGGGGAAATATAAGAAGAAAATGGGTCCTGTTTGATACAAGATCAAGCGCAGGGAGAAGTTCGGGCTGTTGACGGCTGGAGGTGTCGGGGTTTTGGGTGTTCCACATGGCCACTTCGCCCGCCGTAGTCCACGCCATTGTCTGGTCATGGGCGGTGACGATACCATACCCACTGTATTTCAGATGTCACTCCTAAAAGCCCTATGAACGGCAGATTAGGAGTCTGTGTACTGAAATTACCATACCGGCCTCGCCGTCACCTTCGCCATCCTCGTTCTCCTGGGTCCCTCCCCCCCCCTCCCCCAGTTTATTACTGCATTTTCAACATCCAATTATCACCCCCACCTTCAACAACTCCTCTACTCTCACTCCTGACCTCAAATCTCGGAGGATGCTGAGGGCATGAAATCGAAAGGAGCCCTGACTTAGTTGCGCTCACGGCTCCTGGCGCTTTTCCATTAGTACCGCTTTGATATCGCCTTTGAATTCCCCATCCGAACTGAGGGGAGTTATGGAATATTGAGTCCCATCAGTGCTTTGAGACAATCTATTATTTCTTTCGAGGTTATTGCCTACGGAAATTTTCTCTCCCGTTCCACCTCTATCGTTTCTCCCGTGGTCTACGATCTTGAACAGACCTATTGCGACGCCCTGAACGCTCTCCACGATCAACCCGGATACCCCTTTCGCCTTCTTCGCACCCCGGCATAGATATACCTTGCGTATCTGATTAAACAACCGCCACTCATCCTTGATCGCTGATATTTCGCGAAAATGGCGGATTTGGGGGGCCAGCGTAGCCGGAATTACCGGCCTCACGGACCCGCCTCGTCTACGCAGCGGGATGCAGCGTATTCTGACATATTTGGAGGCGCACCGCCTGCAGGACGGTCCCATACAATGAATTCACAGACTCCGCAATTCGCCCAGGGTCGCGCTCACACCATGTCATCGCATGTCGCACAACCCCAATTTCAGAGACCGCCGCCGCCGCCAACACGGCAAATGCCAAATGGACACGGACCGCCGTCGGCACCACCAAATGGATATCCTCCACCCCAGCCGTCCGGGCTGTATCAGGCCTACAGTCCAGGGGCCTCGGCAACAATGTCTTCACATCAGCCTCCTCGACACAACCCTAGCACCCAACAACGCTTTGCTGCCTATCCTCGACCTCAACGCCTCGAGTCAAGACCGAGCCCTGCTCCGCAATACCTAGACTCTAGGGATTTCAATCGTGCTATGCCTCCTCCCGCGCTGAATTCCGATTCATCCCGGTCAAGGTCAATGGCAAAACTAAGCGGGCCGCCTTACCAGATTCCGCCAAGCAACTTCAATCACACGTCTGCCACTGCTTCTCGTCGTGAACAGTATCATGCTGGAGCTCAGGTCACGCAGCTCGGCCGTCCTGTCCCAGAAAAGCATGGGAACGAACGAGCTATGTCTATGACTTCCTGGTCATCTGATCGGGATCCGCATATCATGAACAGCGGAAGGTCAATTCCACACCGCAGACCTCCGTCAAGTCACGATCAGCAGATTCCAATAAGGCATGACTCGATGCAGCCCAGTCCCGATGAATTTGTTGCATCTCGTCAGCCAAGCGATGGATCGCAGAGATCTCGGACTATGTCTATGGCATCCACTGTTGCGCCCGATCGGACAATGAGCGTTCAAAGCCAAGCCACACAGGGCTCCGGCGGCAAGGTTACCCTAGTTTCTAGGGATTCGCAGCGAAAGGTTCCGGTGGTATATCCTGCTCTGCTTTCTCTTGTTGCTGAGATTTTCAGGGAGAAGATTTCACTCGGCGAACGACAGAAGAACGGCCTTTCGTATCAAAATGCGTTTTCGGGTACTGATTCGGTGGACTTGATAGCTTCTATTATCAGAACCAATGATCGCAACCTCGCTCTCTTGCTCGGCCGTGCGCTGGATGCTCAGAAATTCTTCCACGATGTCACATATGACCACCGTCTTCGCGACGCACCCGGAGAGGTCTATCAGTTCAAGGAAACAATGGGAGAAGACAAGTCGACGATCGAGGTTAACGGAGTTTTCACTCTCCTGACTGAATGTTATTCTCCCACTTGCAACCGGGACACTCTCTGCTATTCTATTGCTTGTCCGCGACGACTGGAGCAGCAAGCCAGGTTGAATCTGAAACCTCAGCCGGTACTGGGAACATCGGAATCCAAGACTGCTCTACCCCCGGATGATGATGACGACAATGATAACCAAAAGCTGTGGATTAGTACGGTGCCCAAGGAGGTCTCGGACTCGGTTGATGACCACGAGAAGAAAAGGCAGGAGGTTATCTTTGAGCTCATGTACACCGAGCGTGATTTCGTCAAGGATTTAGAATATTTGCGGGATTTCTGGATGCGACCATTGCGCGCTGCTGGAACTACCACTCACTCGCCAATTCCAGAACACCGGCGTGAGAAGTTTATTCGAACCGTGTTTGGCAACTGCTTAGAGGTCCTCAAGGTCAACAGCGCTCTATGTGAAGCCCTGAATGCTCGACAGAAGGAGAGCCAGGTCGTTCACACCATTGGCGACATCTTCTGTCAACATGTCCCTAATTTCGACCCTTTCATCAAATATGGTGCCAACCAACTATACGGAAAGTATGAGTTTGAGAAGGAGAAATCATCGAACCCAGCCTTTGCGAAATTTGTCGAAGACACGGAACGTCTCAAGGAATCCCGGAAGCTGGAACTGAACGGTTATTTGACGAAGCCTACAACTCGTCTTGCAAGATACCCGCTTTTGCTTGAAGGTGTTTACAAAAACAGTGCGGATGGCAACCCCGACAAAGAAGATATTCCGAAGGCCATCAAGCTGATCAAGGACTTCCTTTCGCGCGTCAATACTGAAAGTGGAAAAGCGGAGAACCATTTCAATTTGGTCCAATTGAACGCTGCGCTGAAGTTCAACTCTGCGGACTATGTTGATTTGAAGCTCACAGAAGAAAATCGACAAATGCTCATGAAGATGTCATTTAAGAAAACCACAGCCGACAGCTCCGATGTTACCGCGTATCTCTTTGATCATGCCGTCCTGCTCGTTCGCGTCAAAATGGTGAATAAACGCGAGGAATCTCGAGTTTATAGGAAGCCCATTCCTTTAGAACTGTTAGTAATCGCTCAGATGGAAGAGGTCATCCCACGACTAGGGATTGCCAAAAGACCTTCATCCAGTCTCCTGTCAAACAAGACTGTCATCAACAATCCCCCTCCTGCCAAAGATGGTGGACTGCCTATCACTTTCAGGCATCTCGGCAAGGGTGGTTACGAGCAGACTCTCTATGCCACAAACGTCGCCACGCGACGAAAGTTTATCGAAGCGGTAGAACAGCAACAACACAAACTGTGGGAGCGGAACAGCAATTTCTACAACAAGACGATCCTGAGCGAGGGCTTTTTCGCAGCGGTCAACCGAATCAATTGTCTTGTTCCGATTGGTACGTCAAAAAAGTTCTAATTCAACTCGTGTCACTCACTAACTGCCACCAGATGGAGGCCGGAAGTTAGTCTACGGGACTGATAATGGCATATTTGTCTCAGAACGCTGGCCTAAAGACAAAACAGCCAAACCAAGAAAGGTTCTAGAGGCTACGCAAGTCACTCAAATAGACACTTTAGAAGAGTACCAGCTGCTATTGGTTCTGGCAAACAAAACGCTTTCCTCTTATCCCATGGATGCTCTCGATTATGTCGAGGGCCAGAACAGCATGGCAAAACGGCCGAAGAAAATTCAGGGCCATGCGAACTTTTTCAAGGCAGGCATTGGTCTGGGTCGTCATCTTGTTTGTTCAGTCAAAACATCGGCGCTATCAAGTACAATCAAGGTCTACGAGCCGATGGACAATCTGGCAAAGGGAAAGAAGAAGTCTGCTGTCAGCAAAATGTTCCAGGGTGGTCAGGATACTCTCAAGCCATTCAAGGTTCGTATTTCTCTCTTCCATGTTCATGCTTCACTTCGCACTAACACTTTCACTAAGGAATACTATATCCCTGCCGAGTCTTCTTCCATCCACTTCCTGCGTTCTACTCTATGTGTTGGTTGTGCACGTGGCTTTGAGGTGGTCAGTCTAGAAACAACAGAGACCCAATCTCTCCTTGACCAGGCCGACACGTCTCTTGACTTCGTGGCACGAAAGGAGAATGTCAAACCTATTCATATTGAGCGTATGAATGGCGAGTTCCTACTCAACTACAGTGATTTCTCATTCTTCGTCAACCGCAATGGGTGGCGAGCTCGTCCGGACTGGAAGATCGCCTGGGAGGGCAACCCGAACGCATTCGCACTGTCCTACCCTTACATTCTGGCGTTCGAACCTAACTTTGTCGAAATTCGACACGTTGAAACAAGTGAATTGACACACCTTATGACCGGCAAGAACATTCGCATGTTACACAGTTCCACCCGCGAGGTATGTTACTTCCATATTTTTCTTCCCGGGGTTTTTCTCTGGGAGTTCTTTTTCACTGATCAAGCGCTGACTAAATCTGGTAGATTATCTACGCCTATGAAGATGACCGAGGCTATGACACTGTTGCCAGTTTAGATTTCTGGACGAACAAGCCGCAGCCAGCCGCCGCCTAATGTTCAACGGGTACATACCACAATCAGCCCCTGCTTGACATCGCCGCTTTGACGTTGTCGCCCGCATCTCTTTCCACAGATCATTAAGCACTTATCTTCCGAAAGTTCTTAATGACACCCGTCCTTCACTACATGTGTCATCTCATCATACTCGCAAAGCCGTGGCTGTATGTACTGTGTTGTCTCTGCAACTGACCGATCATCCACATCTACTTCGCAAACACCTATCTCTCCCTTTCCTCAACACCAATTACAACAAATGGGGGTTTCCCCGTCTTTTCTACGCAATGTACAATGGAGCGCAAATACCACTTCTTGCGTGTCTGCTTTCTTGCTTTTTGCTGCGTTTCTTTTCT